AGCTCGTCTGCCTGGCTGTGTGTTTCCTGGACGGGGCCGCCTGTGGAGCTGGTTGACAGTTGCCTTTTGTATCTATGTTTCTTTTTCTATGTCTGCTTCTGTCTCCATTGAAGAGTCAATGAGTCGATGCAATCAACTGGTTTTCCTTAGATAGAAAACTTTTAACCAACCTGACTGGATGATCTGGTTGAATTGTTTCTGTAAAGTGACCTGAGATGAAGTGTGCTGTGAATTGGCGATATAGAAATAAACTAAACTGAACTGAATATTTTCATCCAAAGCTGCATTAGAATGACTAAGCGCTGCTCAGCTTCATTGCCATGACAACCAGAAGCTTCGTAATGCTTCTGGGCGATGCTTTCAAGAAGGAGAAGAGACCTGATGGACTGACTGGGTCATTTATTAGCTGAACTCATTCCTGAGCTTCCTGATGTAGCTGGACCCGACCGACTGACTTCTTTAGAGATTTATGGACAAGGTAAAGGAAAACAGCCATTTTCAGCAGCCCTTTAGGCCACTTCTATGCCGACAGAAAAAAGGATGCATTTCTCTGGACTGAACTAAAGGACATAGAAATAGGAAGCTTGTTTTTAAGCGATGCTTTCCTCTAACAGAAATCGTTACTAAGCTTCTGTGACCCTCTTAATGATTTTCTTTTAGCTCTGAAACCGTTCTGCCGTTTGTTTCCACAGATCCAGGCTAGCATTGTCCCCACGCCGATGTGTTCCTAAAGACTCAGACATACCAATGTGAATGTAGCCATCCTTGTAAAGTCTGTTGATGATAAGGGTGAGGAAGAGGCCGATGTTGCGAGAGTTGTAATAAGTTAAATAGATGATCCATCCACAGGACAGAATGGTGGCTGAAACAGAAGAAGAAACAAGTTCTGAGTCAATGGAAAGAGAGATTTTAAACAAGCTCCATCTTTTATCAGGGATCTGAAATGACGCAGAGGAAAGGCTTAGACTGCTGAAGGACATAGGGACCCATTTTCCATCATTCTATCTCTATTCTCCCACTCTGCAGAATCTGTTAGTTCAATCTCTAACGTTCTGCTCTCTCTGCTTTTTCTCATAGTAGCTTCATCTGGTCTGTTCCTGTTTGGCTGTGACTCCATCCTGGAGAGAAATATCAGCTGTGCTGCTGCCATCAACACCTTTGTTTCTAGATGTTTGAGATCTGCCTGTTTTTCAGTGTTTAATCCCGTTTCTTTCCTAGCCATAGCTACAGGCTGGGATTTTTACTGTGACTAACTGTATCTTCTCTCTTTCATCCTTTGACATAAATACTGGATCAGAACTAATTTGTCCCAGACAGAACCACCAGTGGAGCTAGTTTACCGTTAGCTTTTCCAACATAGAAAGGAGTACAGTGAAACTAAATAAAAATCAACAAGAACATGAATAAGGAAAGAAAATCCATCTTTCAATAGGCGTTAGCCCCGCAGTGAGAGGTTGAATCTCTTACCAACAAGTAGCCAGATGAAGTTCGAATCATGCTCATTAAGATAATCATCCAGCTCCCCGATGGTGGGGAAGGAGGCGTTTTTAGAACCATCCATGGCTACAGGTGCTCAGGTAAGCACAGAGAACTACAAATCAAAAGAAATGCAAGTTTAACAGATATGCATCAATTGAAGGTTTTGTTTTCAATTAAACTTCTGATCTTAAGCAGGGAATAAAAACAGAGCTGCCATGTGATAAAAAAAACAACAATTTTTATGAATATTTAATTGAAACTAAACATGAGTAAACAGATAAATATGAGCATTGGTGCTATGAAAATAAAACTCAAAGAAAATCAAATGATCACATTGCTGAACGAACCCATTCTCAATGCCATGCAGTCCAATAAGAAACAGGCCCACAGCATCAAACATCCGCCGCCGTGCTTAATAACTGACCCAAGAAGCTTTTCCTGATCCCTTTTCAGAACTGGGTCACATTTCACACAGCAGGGTTAGTGGTGATCCAGAGTAAGTTCTGGGGTCAATCCCTGCATACGCTGCCTTTTCCATTCCAGAAAACTAGGACGCCATTACCTCTTTACAAACATATTCTGCTGAAAAGGTCACCAATCAGATGTTTCCTAAATCTGCTGAATCAGCACCAGGAAGCTGCCATCTCAGCACCAGAAGACGTGTTCTTTACAAACTGTTATACAAACATGGCCACTTCTCTGCAACTTTCTCTGGTTGTAAAAACTACAGAACTCCACGGCCCCTGAATGGTGCATGATGCACAACTCTGTGCGTAATCAAAACAGTATGCATGTGTTGAACAGGCTGATGGCCTCTACAGGAGGATTAATGTTGTTTACATGAGTCTAAAGCTGCTGGGAGGCTGCTGAGTGTTTATTCACATTTATTCAGCGTACAAATAGGGACAAATCCGTTCCTAATCCCCCCGAAATGACGCAGAGGAAAACCCCCAAAGCTGTAATCAATCTTTGCACTTGATCAACTCTTCCATGAATTTCAAAGCTACATTTATCAACTTGTTAGATTTAATAATCAATGTTCAACATGCAGAGATCGACCCATAGAGGCTTTTTTTTAGTCCAATGCTGATGCCAGTTATTTGACATCAGTCTTAATCATCCCTGATATGAGCTCCTGATATTTTCAGGCTGATTCTTAGAGCATATGTTGCTTTTTCTTACTCAGTTTATGTGATAAAAATGACTGCATGATAGCAAATGTTATACAAGTCTTGATTTGAACCAAAATAAAACATTGATTACCAATTTAAACTCAATAGTAGGCCTGAAAATAACATTCATAATTGTATTTTATTGATCTCAATTTGGATATCTGCTGTCAACCCATCGCCTTGGCGAGTAGTGGGTTGCCATTGTGGGATTAAGAGTCTTGCTTACAGACCCAAAGTGGAGGCTGTGGGAATCAAACCAGGTACCTGCAAATTTCTCTGAGCACAAGCGCACCCTGCTCTAACCACTAGGCCAAGGACTATTTAGCTAATCAATTAATCTGTTGATTATTTTTTGATTAATCGATTAATAATCGGACAGCCAAAAATTCCTTAAAGAAGATTTTTTACTAAATTAAACCAGATGAACCTAAACTTTTCCACTTGAGGAGTTCTGATAGAGCACCCAGATGATCTAGACGAAAAACGTAGTTTTTTTTTTTTAATCTTAAATGCAAAAATTTTAATATATTCTTTATATAATTTAGGTATGATTACTGAGTGGGTCGCTCTGTCAGCTAAAGGCATGATTTGGAGTCTCTATACTCCAGCTAATGATTAATCGATTAGTTGATGATTATTTCAGAAATGCTATTTTTCTTTTTTTTGTTTGACTGTTTATCCTGATTACTCAGATTAATCGTTTCAGCCCCACGAATCATACTAGATAGCAAATATCCTAAAGTTTCTTTGCGGTTTTCTCCGATTTTGTTTTTTAAAAGGTATTATGTTTTCATATTTTCTAATCTACGGAAGCTGAGGGCGGCTGTACCCAAGTTTTTGTTTTTCTTTTGCTTTCTCGAGATAATGACAGCTGTCTCGTTAAACCATTAATTGTTTTCTCAATAACAAATAATTATCTTGCTATCACAAGAAAACTGTTAGTTGTGCAGTCGCTTTACCGCCTCTGAGCAAATAATCAGTTTCCTTTTTTTTTCATTCATTGTCAGGTCGTGGTGGATGACTGGATTGCATGGAATACAGTAGAAACAAATATTTTTTTTAAGGAAAAGCTTAATCTGGACTCATTTTGGGGGTTAATGCATCTTATAGCTGTTCCAGGCGTAACACCGGGATGTTCAGAAAACACCTGGAGGCATAGGGCTGATTGCTTATGAATCAGTAGTGGAAGCAAATAATCAAACCAACATCATCTTGTTACCTAAAAGTTAAACACAGTATTAATTAAAGAACGACACATAGGCTGCCATGACTTATAAATCCTCCTGCTGTTATGCTATTAAAGGATGTAATAAGTTTTAACACAGACCAATCATCTCGTTTTGACGAGAAAACAGCTGTCATTATCTTTAGAAAATAAGTAAAATTTACTCGTTTTCTCAAGAAAACCACAGTGAAAAAGTATCTGAGGGACACGACCGCTCAGAGCTTCCATACAAATCTTATTTTTTAAAACTATTTTTATTTATTCTCAAACTGTTTTTAAAGAATGCAGTCTTTTCACTCAAGCCAAAAAGAAAGGTTTATGCTGCGATGTATAAAAGTAATGCTGCTAACATCCAGCGGACCGATAAGACATGTTTTCCTTCTCACTTCAGATTAAACCCTGAGAACAGAACATAATCTGGAAAACCCAATTTAAAAAGAATGCAATTTTTAAAACTCAATCTGAAACATAAAAAAAACATAAAATCTTAAAAATATATAGTTATTTTTTTAAACATGACAGAAAGAATCTGAGAAAAACAACACAGTTACTGTAAAAAACATTCCTGAATATTTTTTTTTCTTGTTTGTATTTTCTTTGCTTGCAAAAATGAAGGAACCCATTTCACTCCATACAATGTGCATCTAATCAAAAGGGAATCTCGTCAAATCTTCTGAGCTGCCTTTCTGCTGCCTTACAGACTTTCCTGTAAAGCAGGTTTGGGTTCTGAGGATATCAGGCCGACGGCAGCAGCGCTTTGGATGACTAAGCTGTTGGTTCAGCTCACTTTTGGTTTCTGAGCTGCTCAATCAGACAGATAAAGCTTTAAGATGTCATTCAGGCTGCAGTAAATAACACCGAAGCTGGCATCTATTTTGAAGGATCATTTTTTGGGGTGAACCAGTTTCAGGTTTCTGGCCGATCACTGATTACTGATCTTTAAAAAGCCAGAATGGAAATTCTGGTTTTGACAGATTGATTTTTCTTAAATAACTCACACTGTCAATTGTTAAAAGATCACAAGACTCTGTTCTTACTAAAACAATTCAATTCAGCTTATTTCTATTGCTCCAATTCACATCATGTCATCTCAAGGCACGTTACAGTTCATCAGATATCAGTTTTCTATCTAAGGAAAACCAGTTGATTGCATCGACTCGTTGACTCTAAGGCAATCCCTCACACTAAGCATGTTTGTAGCGACAGTGGGGAGGAAAAACTCCCTTTTAACAGGAAGAAACCTCCAGCAGAACCAGGCTCAGTGTGAAAACTTTAAATTAATCTGACTGGATGATCTGGTGAACTGTAAAGTTTAGATGACATGTTGTGAACGGCGCTATAGAAATAAACTGAACTGGTTAAAATATCTTTAAACAATCTAAAAAGAATTTGCAGTCAGGTAAAACTGGGCTGATAGTTTCACAATATACATGTTTTCAACTGCAATTGAGATGTGCTTTGTTAAAACTTCAATACCTTTTTATTGCTAGGTAGGATGCAGACAACTTCCGGGTGTCATAGGTAGAGCAAAATAATCTGCCCCCTTTTGATCCCTCCAGGTATTTAAGGTTTTTGACCAGAGATGATTAGAAGCAGCTAATAAACATCAAACATAGGGAACAGCTCTTTACTGAATGAGGGTCAGAGGCTATCGTTAATCATCTCTGAGCAAAGAGCAGCAGGATGTTTGGGGATATAAGGAACTGGGATATCCATGCTGGGCGTAAACAGGAAAGAAATGTCAACTGTCGAACCATAAGCTGAGGGAGTAATTCCCTATTGCACCATTATGAACCGTATAAGAATCATTTTTTATCAAACTTGAATTGAAACATTGATCAAAAGCACAGCTAAACCATCCACAATAACCAGACTTGGCATTTCAGGCGTTAGACGGCAGAGCTTTTAAGCTAGCCAGTCCAACACCGATAATACTGAGGCTAGCTATTAGCATGCTAATGACAGCGGGCCGCAGCTAATTTCTCCTGTCGGTTTCGCCACACACTGAAAACGCGTCTGTTATTAAGAGGTGCCTACCTTAATGCTCCAGCTACAGTTAGAGGTTTCATCCTGGCATCAGTTAGCCAGGAGCAGCTGTCCGCCTGGAGCTTTTAACACCTAGCATCCTCTGCTCACTATTTACATGGCTGGTTGCCAGTTAGCATCCCTCTTCCTGTTCTTACCGGAGCTGTCACAGGAAATGACCAATGGGGAACAAGCAGCCGGCGAAAGGTTGACCAATAAAAAAAAATCTTTGCTGAGGCCACGCCCGTAAAAGATTTTCTGCCTATCAACATGAAGGTTTTTAACGGCAAGGTTAGTGGAGGGTTATTTTTGATACTTAACGTAAAAGCAAGAATAAACAGAGAAAAAATAGCCTTATATATATCTATATCTATATAGATATAGATATATCTATATCTATATCTATATATATATATATA